GCTGTTGCCTGGAGACTCACGGCAGCCCAGCTCCAGGTTGAGCTGTTGTTCAGCATCTTAGCTGTAGAGGGCAGTGTCACTGGCACTCATATGTGGGATCCAAACCGGGGCCCTCTGGTGTCCCAAGCCAGCTCTTAACCATTGCACCACTCGGCCGGCCCCCATTTTATTTTTTTATTAAAGATTTTTATTCAAGTATAGCTAACATATTAATTTTCAGGTGTATAAATAGTCAACATTTGTATACCTAAAGAAGTGATTACCATGATAAGTCCATCAATCATCTGCCATACCATGCTATCACAATATTATTGACTATATTCCCCATGTTGTACTTTACATCCCTATAACTTGTTTTATACCTGGAATTTTGAACCTCTTACTCCCCTTTACTGTTCCCACTCCCTTTTTTTCAATTTCAGTTGACATTCAGTATTATATTCAAGGGTACAGCATCATGGTTAGACATTTATATAATTTAATAAGTGATCCCTCTGACTAGGTTAGTAACCACTAGGCTAAACTACACCATTTTATATAAGGGATTTGAGCATTTGCAGATTTTGGTATCCATGAGGGAGGGTGTCCTGGAAACCAATATGCTGAAGATACTGAGGGACAATTGTACTTATATATGACATAAATATAAAAAATATAGTAAGCATGACATAAATGTCCTCCTTGACGTGACTGTTGTCTCCCCACCAGGCATTTCTCAAGGCTCCTCCCACTTGGCACTTTATACCACCCTCAAAATGATTTCACCAGATTCACTCGATTACATCTTATGTTCATGCTTAGAATGTTCTCCCTGATGTCATGTTCCACCTTCTGTCCCTAAATGCTGTTCCCAGTTGTTTTGTGTATGCTGAACTCATTATAAAATTGGAGGTTGTCTTCTTTTTTATACTTATAGAGAGAAAGGACTTTTTTTTTGTGTTTTTTTTTTAAATCTTTTGTAACCATAGCATCTAGCCCAGTGTCTGGCACAAAGGAAGTATCAGTGAATGAACTACATGTACAGTTAACTGATTACCATTCCTATTGCTTTACTATATAAAAGAATGAAAGGGGGCTGGCTGAGTGGCTCAGGTGGTTAAGAGCTCACGCAACAGTGCGAGCTCTGAGCAACAGGTTCACCGGTTCAATTCCTGGCCCGAGCTGGTGGCAGGATGGTTAACAANCTGTACCTGGGACACACTAAACAAGGAAAATAAGCAATGATGGCTTTCTAAATTTATGTAAGTTAAAGTACTTAGTCCCTTGAAGCCTAACACTTAAAAAGTGGTCATACTGATTTCTCGTGTACATTATATTTGTCATAGGCTTCACTTGTATTATGAACTTTAATGTTACAGGTTTTGATCAGATATATTTAAAATTATATTTCTTACACATTTTAAATCCCCTTGTCTGCATCCATAAAACAAAACCAAAATTATAAAGAAATTATATGTTCATGTCTTTCAATTTTTATATTGTTTTTCCTACAAGTGAGAAGCAGTGTAGTACTGGCAAATAGATAAACAAACAAACAAACCAGCCAGCCAGCCAGCCTGCCTAGGATTCGGAATTGGTTTAAATGTGTCTTCTAAATGTGTGGCCTTGGGAAACTCAACCTTTCCTAACTTCAGCTTCCTTATCTGTAAGAGAGATAATATCTGCTCAGAAGGATCACTCTGAGGATTGCTGGCAGTGTTTTAAGTGTCATGAACTGTACATAGCACCTGTAGAGGAACCCTCAACAACCACTTCCTATTCTTAAAATCAGCAATACTCATATTAAGCAAATGCTCATAATTTCTTCTTGGCTATACTTCTCAAGAAGTATTTTATATCCTTCGATATTTCTGTTTCGCAAAGAACCTTTTTCTTTAAATCCAATAAGACCCAAACAATGGTGAAATGTTCAGTAGTTTGTACACACTTTTCCTTTCAAACCCCAGAAACCTTGGTTAATTGAATTCAATTAATTTTGGCTGTAGTCCAGTCAACAAAGTTTTCTCACGTTTTTTTCCAAACTGCGTACCTCTTGTCCTGACATTTATTGTGTCTTTACCTTCTTTAGTATATAACATATTCCACGAGACATCTCAGCTTGGCTTGGTATTGTCTTCTCTGCATTCTCTCAAAGAAATGCTTTAGTCCTTGCATTGATGGTCTTCAATTTCTAGGTAGTCTGGACATTTCCAGTCTTCAGTTGGATTAGCATTTTCTTTAATAAATAAAATAAAACAAAACAAAAACCTATATTCCTGTCCTTCATGACTGTTGGAAGGTTAATACCCATCGAGACATTTCTGAGGATTTTCAGGGGGGCTTAGATGTCCTATATGTCACTTGTTACCTCTTTCAACTATTGTCTTTGCTTGTCCCTGAAAACCTAGTGACTTTTGCCTTCACTACTTCTCTATGATACTTCAGCTATCTGTGCTCTGTGTTACTATAAAAGTAAGACTTCTTAGGCTGTGTATGTGAGTGTGCATATATAATTATGTTAGGGAGAGGGTAGGGGGGTGCCAGGAAGGATCATGTACAGAAAAGGAGACAACCGAATATCACGTATCCCATTCTTGTTTTTTTTTTTTTTTTTCCGCTGAGCCATCCTGTCACCTGTTGGCAGCTCAGTGGGTGCTCAGCTCAGGCTAGGCATCAAACTGCTGTTGCTCAGAGCTCAAACTCTTGAGCGAGCTCTTAACCAACTGAGCCACTCGGCCGGCCCTTACGTATCCCATTCTTAACCTTATTCTCATATACTAAAGGAACAGGCGATCCCCACCATCCAGATGTTTACTTCCAGTTCTTGAGTGAAATTAAACAACTAATTAAAGACTGAATCATAGTTGTGGGAAATGTTCACTGTTGACGCTCTGGGAGAGAGGTGGGTTTTGACATAGTCTGGTTAGTTAAGGAGGGCTTTCTTGGGAAAGTGATAGCTATGCCGAGAGCTCTGAAGTTTAAGTAGGAGAAAACTAGAAAACTAGGTGAAGTGGGAGGAATACTTGAGATTGGAAAAATGCCATGAGTTAAAAGGTAAAATGGCCCTACTGTAGGGAAAATCACATGCTGTCAGAGGAACAGCGAGATGACCAGTGTTTCTGGAACATGGAGAGCTTGCTGTGGTGATAAAAGATAAGGTGTGCAGGGACTGGATCCTACTAGGCCTTACAGATTGTCACTTTTATTTTGAAAACAAGAAGTAATTGAAATTGTTGTGTATTTATAAGAGGTCATTAGGCTGAACCACAAATAATGGATGAGAAGATACAGACACTGGATGTAGAAAGACCAGTAGAGTCCTTTTTGTGGAGCAAGGCAAAAGGTAATAGTATCTTGGGTTATGCAGGTAACAGAAGTAGTCGGGCACAAGAAACATTAAGAGTTAAAATGGCAGGATTTGAAGACTGTTTAGTGTGAAGGATAAAGCAAAAAGGGTGTCAAAAGTGATTCTCTAGGGCTGGCCGAGTGGTGTGTTGGTTAAGAGCTGGCTTGGGACCCCAGAAGGCCCCGGTTCTGATCCCAATTATGAAGGCCAGTGACACTGCCCTCTACAGCTAAGATGCTGAACAACAGCTTGACCTGGAGCTGGGTTGCCGTGAGTCGCCGGTGACGGTGTAGAACAAAACGACAGCAACTTGTCTGTTCCCCTTCCCCTGATTCCCCAATAAAAATCTTAAAAAAAAAAAAAAAGTGACTCTCTAGTTCCTGGCAGAAGCAACTTGTTACTCTACAATTTAGTGCTGTGGAGAGGATTGGATAAGGCGTTGATTTTAAGGAAAGATTATGAATTTAAAATTTAAAAAAAAAGAAATATTAATATTTAAGTCTGGATCTCAGAGATTGGAAGTAGAAATTTGGGAGTTGGGAGCATATAAATGATATTAAAAACCTAGAATATGATAGCCTTAATGATCTAGAGAGAAAGAGCCTTGAGAGGGTCTGATGAACAAGTTTTTATCAGTCACAGGAGAATGTTAAAATTGGCAAAGGACACTAAAAAGAATGAGCTGGAAATGTAGGAAAAACAGGAGAATGTGATATCATGGAATACCAGAGAAGAATATGTATCCAGAAGATGAAATGGCCAATTGTGTAAGATTTTGCTTAGGTCAAGTAAGATCGTTTCCTAAGATAGTCAAATGTCATTTCTGTTATTACGACTTGTAGAATTTCTCCATTGGTGACTCTACTCCAGGCAAAGTTAATTATTTCCTTTTGAAGCTAACTATATGACTTTTATACCAGTTGTTATTCTATTTGAATTATTTTATTACATATTTAACACTTCTGGAATTCTTGATGAAGCTAGATATTTGTCTTGGCTGGTTTTGAACCTGAAGCTTCAAAAATAGTGTCATGCACATGCTATACCTTTGATAAATGTTGAAAAAAGTTAATAAAGAAGTGATTAAGTGAATTGGTACTTGGGTTGCTCAGTTTAGCTTTAAGATCATTACTAGTTTAACAAGGTGATATGTAGTTGTCCACACAAGTTAATAGTAGAATCATTTAAACAACTTTAAAGTTTATGCTCATAAGTTGAAGGCAAAAATGCTTATGTAAGAAGTAACAGGAGCAAAAAGAGCCTTAAGATTTTGAGTTTAAATAACTTTGTTTTTCTTGTGGTATGTGAACTTTTCTAATGGGAGAGCTATATTATGAATTGCAATTTCAAGTATAATAAAGGAGGTTTAATGCTTATTAGACTGATATTTATTATTGCTTGGAAGATTATGGGAATGAAAATGCCGTTATTATGCACTGAGTATTTAACTTGCTTAATAATATAAAATAATTTGAATGGTTCTAACTAGATTCGTTCAAGAGAATTCAGTG